CAGGCGCGGCCCACGGCGGGCGGTGGCAAGTGCGGCGCGCAGCATGCTGAACCGAGCGGAGCTTAACTGAGCCGAACTGAGCTGAGCAGGGGGAGCCGGGCCGAGCGGAGCCGAGAGGAGCCGAGCCGAGCCTAGCTGAGCCGGGGGCGACTGCAGCGTCGTTGAACGAGTCCTCACCTCCGCCCCCTGCGGCCGCCAATGGGAGGCGGAGACACGGGGGCGTGGCCGGGGAGCCCCAGCCCCCAACGGCCCTAAGGGGCGCGACCCTGGCTCCCTAAGCCAAGCCGGAGATGGAGCCTTGAAGAACGCAGGAGTGGTCTGAGAAAGCTTAGCCAGGGCCGTGCGCGCTCCCAGCAGAGTGGCTGGCGCAGATGTGGCAGTGAAGAGAAGAATTCACAAAAGCGGTTATTCCGTGGACAGCCTGGGACTGGGCACTCGAGGTGCAGGAGAGCATTGGCTAGAAAGGGACGTGGACGCCCGGTCCCTCGTGTGCCTTTTAACCAGATGAACGCTGAAGTGGGCTAAGGAGATGGTGAGGAGCTTGGCAGGGGCTTCTGGGCAGTGCCAAGAGAAGTGTTTTTGAAACAGAGGAGCCCCCCAAAATGGGTGGAGCCCTTGGAAGCTGAGGCCCAGCCCGTTTCTGAAGCACCCAGCAGGAGGAGACTGCTGTGTATGAGCTTCGCCCAGAGCTCTGGTGACTCTCAGGATATTGTCACCTGCGCTTTAAGAGACAGCGACCAGACAAGGGGTTTGGGCGCGTTTCCTCTTGTGCCTCTCATTTTAGCACTGGACAGCTGATGTTGTTCCGGGGCTCAGCACCGTGGGCACAAAACATGGGGGGAAAGCTTTTAAGGACTTCACGGGCAGGTCACATGACCAACTGTAGGTGCAAAGGAATCTGGGAAACTGAGAGCACAGTTAGGAGATATTGTAAAGGAGCCACTGAGCAGACATTGAGATTCCCAGGGGGTCTGCACTTACAGAAATCAAAATATATGATCGAATTTTCATATCTCCCTGGAAACTGTGCAGCTCTGTATTAGCCAATCAGGTCAGAATGAAAGCCTGGCTCTGACCACTCAGAGAGAGAGACACACACAGGGCCCCTTTGTTTTCCGAATAAAAACCCAACAGAAAAATGGGTCTATGTCTTTAATCAGAACTTAAGAGGTAGAAGCAAGCAAATCTCTTGAGAACTCGGTGCCAGCCTGGTGGTCTACATACAAGTTCCGGCTAGCCATCACTATATATATAGTGAGACCCTTTAAAAACCGTCACCAGGCCGGGCGGTGGTGGCGCACGCCTTTAATCCCAGCACTTGGGAGGCAGAGGCAGGTGGATTTCTGAGTTCGAGGCCAGCCTGGTCTACAGAGTGAGTTCCAGGACAGCCAAAGCTACACAGAGAAACCCTGTCTCGAAAAACCAAAAAAAAAAAAAAAAAAAAAAAAAAAACCGTCACCAGCAGGGCCCCTGTGGCCGTGCATGCTTGCTCAGCGTGGAAATGTACCCTTGTGGAAAAGTAAACCATTTTGCCTTGCCAAAATGTTTTGGATTGTGTTCAGGATCTTGAATCTCCACACCCATTTCCTCATTGACTACTTTTAAAATGGCTACCTACTGTTTCATTGGCTACACGTACATGCCCATTTAAAGAATGTTCTATGGGCATTTTTTAGGGGGCTTCCAATCTTGTGCGATTACAAACAATGCCCCAGTTTGTATCTTTCTTTTGACTTACTGAGTAATTCACAAAGGTAGAGCCACTAGGTCACAGGATATTTCCTAATTAAATACAGATAGTGCTATATACAAGCTCCTTGATTTACGATGGGGTGTGGGCTATAATCCTTCTCAAGTTGGAAGTATCACAAATCAAGAATTCGTTGAAAGTCTACTTTCGGGCTGGAGAGATGGCTCAGGGTTAAGAGCTCCAACTGCTCTTCCAGAGGATCTCCAGTTCAATTCCCAGTAACTACACGGTGGCTCACAACCATCTGTAATGGGATCCGATGCCCTCTTCTGGTGTGTCTGAAGACAGTGACAGTGTACTCACATACATAAAATAAAAATTAAAAAATTCTAAAACAAAGAATGACTTTTAAGAAAGCCTACTTTCTTGTGGTACCTGCCCTGTAACTTCAGCACTGAGTTCGTGAGGGCGGGAGGATAAGAGTTAAAGATCAACCTGAAGAGTTCCAGACTAGTCTGGGCTACAGGAGACTCTTACCTCAAACAAACAAAAATGACTTCGATACACCTACCCTGCCACACAACACAGCTTAGCTACTAGACTGTGCTTTGTAGTGTCTGTGTCCGGCCCTCATGACTTCGGGCTCACTGGGAGCTCAGCTGGTGGAGCATCTTGACGGAGGATCCTATAGTTAGCTAGGGAAAAAAAGAATCCATGTTCAAAAAGTCTATAACCTTGCACAGCAGTGGCATTGGTGACACATGCCTTTAACTCCAGCACTTGGAAGGCAGAGCCAGTCTATGAGGCCAGCCTGGTCTATGGAATGAGTTTCAGGGACAGCCAGGGCTACACAGAGAAGCCCCGTCTCAAACCAAGTCTCTGTTGTTGGCCATCGGCCCAAGCACTGCCACACCCTTACCCCTTCCTGCTATTGTTATTTTCAATTCTGTTAGTAACTGTTCTCAAAGCCAGGGCGATTGCTCTAGTATGCGTTTCAAGTGAGATTAAATAAATGTCTTTGTCTGTGTGCAGCCTGTGTTTTCTCTGCCAGGTTTTAAATGTTCACGTGCTGGCTCTTTTTCCCCCTTGGTAGAGGGCTGTCCTTTTGAATTTGAATTGAAGAAGCCCTGTGTGTTTGTTTTTGTTACTGGTTTTAGACAAGGTCCCCCTATGTAGACCAGGTTGTACTTCAGCTCAGAGGCACCTATATGTGCTACTATACCCAGTGCCGTGTGTGTGTGTGTGTGTGTGTGTGTGTGTGTGTGTGTGTATGTGTGTGTGTGTGTGTGTGTGTGTTCCTCAATGTGGTGTCCTTCCTGCCATTTATCATTTTTTATTGGCAAATGATAAGGAGTCAGGGATTTCTGAACTACAGCCTGTTTGATCATCTATCACACATACCAGTGTGACACCATTTTTATTGATTTCTTGTCTTTTTAACCTTTTTGTTTTCTTGTTTATTGAGTCAGGGTCCTCCTGCCTCTTCTCTGAAAAACTGAGATTATACTTATGACTACCACACTGGTTTATATGCTGAGGGGGAAACCCTGGGCTTCCATGGACACCAGGGAAGCCCTCTAACCACTGAGCCATATACCCCTGCCCCCAACCCTATTTTACTACTGTGAAAAACTCCCTCCCTTAGGTTTAACCCCCACCATTTAATGCCTGCACTCAGAGACAGGACCGTGGCTTAAAGGCTAGCCTGGACTACATAAAGAGATTCTGTTTCAAAAGCCAAACTTTGGAAGCGAATCAAGCAGAACAAAACCAAAAGCTATCATTCTGGAGGGAGGGATGTAACTCAGTGGCAAACACTTGCCTGCCATGCTGGGCACTCTGTAGATCCTACTATAAAAATCCAGTAAACGGGCTGGGTAGACAGGACCCCCAGTGTCAGACTGAGTCACCATCCCTATGGGAATCCAGCCTGATGTGTGGCAAGAGAAGCCCAGGGGAGATGTTGTCATCCCTGTTCTAGGATAGACCGCTGTGGTGAGGGAGGAAGAGTGTGGGATTGCTCTGCCTTGATCCTCCTTTATAGACACATCAGCCAGCATGGTGGCGATCGCCCATCGGGTCCCAGAGCAGCTTGCTGAAAGTCACATGTCCTTCCCTACTGGGTACCAGGACAGTTCCCAACTGACACAGGATGGTCAGATCTGAAGAAGCCAGGGAGGGATCCTTCCCTTGTGTCTTCTGAAGCAATGGTTCCTCTCTCTCTTCCTCTCTCTCTCTCTCTCTCTCTCTCTCTCTCTCTCTCTCTCTCTCTCTTCTTGTGGGAGATTCCATTGGAGTGCATGGACATTGGGGAGCTTCCACTTGAATGGATGGTAAACATTTCTGAGAGGTTGGTCAGATTGATTCTCCTGAGGAGTGCAGGAGGAACTGAGAGTGGAAACCAGGGAACTCCGGGCAGCTTCCCAGAGCAAGTGAGTGTAGTTTTGCTGAACGAGGCTCAACTTTGACAGCTACAGCTACTTTGTCAATAGTGTTTCCAGTTCAGCAGAGAAGTGTGCTTCTCAGGCATCGTGTCCACAGTTAAATAAAACACAGCAGTGTTGTCTGTACTCAGAAAGCCGTCTTCCGTGTGGGAGCATCATGTACCTAACTATT